ATAAATGGAGCACATACAACCAACAGAGACACGTGAGAAGGTTGAAAAAAGTGTCCATGGAAAGGGGAAGATGAAATGTTAACACTAGTAGGAGCACTAAGAGGCCGAAGAAAAGAAAATGACCACCAACATAGTCTGTGGAAAGGGGGAAGCTAGAAATTTGTCATCTGGTCTCTGACATTACAGAAGCCTTAACCACAATAACACTTTCTAACTAAAAACCAGATCTAGCCAGTTGTTTTTGTTTTTTGTTGTTTTTTTTTTACTTACTCACATATTTCCAAACAGCTGTAATTTAACTCCATCAACACATTTAATGCCTTTCCTAACCTATCAGTCTTCCATGCCTTAATTTCTCTGCAAATAGATTAAACTCTCATAAATGTTTCATATCTTCAGTGTTTCAATGTAAACATTGCATGATCATGGCCAGGGAGGGATCATGGGAGGTCTTCAGGGTGTGTCTGGCCCATCTTGCCCAGTCCTGATTGGCCCAGACCCCAGCAGCAAGCTAACCTACCAGTTGAAACGTCTGCCCTCTGGTGGTCATTGCAGGTCATAGTGACTGGCCAAACATTGAATAGATGGTTGAACACTTAACATATTAGGCTTTTATTATATAGGATAGTTCATAAACCTGATTTTTATAAATTTTATTTTTACTGATATTATAGTCTTATGGTTGATTAATTTCATTTTACAATTGCATACCATAATACAAAAATATAAATGAATTTTACATGTTGTTTCAGGTTGAGATCCCTAGAAATCATACTCCAAGATTATCATGTAGTACGTTTATTAGGGAATGCTCTAAGGATCTTCACACCATTGCGAGCATGGAGGCAAACCTCGGTAGAGAAAGGAGTTAAGCTGCGAAGCAAACTCAATACAGACTGCAGTCAATCTCATCGTGAGCACTGAAAATGGGATAGCTCTTCCCAGTTGTCCTGAGATGAGGGAAGACAGCCAAGTCTCTGTGCTCCTTGGATGTAAGCTGTATCCAGGAAGGGGCCTGACGATGGATGAGGTAGCTTTCAAACGAAGGAGATTCGCAGAGATGTCTGCTAGCTGAGAGCTCTTAGCCAGCTGCACTGGGTGGAGTAAGTCCTTCAATCTGGAGCGTTGACCTCAATGTAAGCCTGTGCCTCCCACTCAGCTGCATATCTTCCTCTAAATGGAGGGAGCAGCTTCTCCATGATTCTAGTGAACTGCTTTTTGGGAACAACGATAAGAGGAAGGTAAGCAGGACAGATTGGATGGTGCGCCAAGGAAGCTGGACTTGAGGCCATAGCAAATACTTACCTCATTCTTCTAGAATCTAACCTAGAGTCTCCTCGCCTTCAGTTGAACCTCTGCAGTCTCAGTGGCTCGCCTGGCGGCATCCTGGGCTCCTGAGCCTCCAGTCATCGAGCTCTTTGCAAGTATTTAAACAACAACTTCTAAGTCAGTAAAATATTGGTTTATTAAGAAATTGGGAGGTTGTCATGGGAGTTGAGTGTATACATAGGAGCTTTAAAACTAAAAACAATACTGACCAAATGTGATATAAACATTTTCTCTACGTTCAAACTATAGAGAAAAAATATGAGCAGCTGCATAGCATAATACTCTCCACGTCCCTCCATGTTGAGCGAAATAAGCCTCCAGAGAAAGATAAATATCCCATGATCTCACTCATATGTGGAATCTAATGAACAAAATAAACAGAAGAACAAAGGAGATCCAGAGACATGGAAGAATATTACAGACTGATGAATCTCAGAGGGAAATTGGGGGAGAAGGGAGAGATAACCGGGAACTTATATACATATATGCATAGCCCATGGGCACAGACAATACCGTGGTGAAGGCCTGGGAGGGGTGGTGAAGGGTGGAGGTGGTCAATGGGGGAAAAAGGGGGAGGGCATCTGTAATACTCTCAAAAATAAAGGTCAGCTTTTAAAAAAATAAAAATAAATAGAGCAGCTGCAACATTTAAGTGTTGCTACTGAAGAGCAGAAGTAGGGAAGAAGGGAATGGTGGGGTGGAGAACTGCACTATAAATTCAAGCATAATTGTGTTTTAAATATGGTGTACTCTTTTCCCCTGATAAAAGCAAAACTAAAATAAAAATTAGTAGACTTTTACAAAAACTACTGGTCCTCATAATACAAGAACATTTGCAAAGAAGCTTTAACTATAACTACAGAATTACAGATGTGAAAACATTGAGTTTAAAAATATAGGTGTCAAGTTTACCTATACAATGTTGAAACTAGCCGGGGTCATACATCCCATTACTATGACAAAACTTATAAAGCAAGCAATGCTACATACTTAACACACAAATGTGAGGATCGTCGCTTTAATCAGTGTCTAATTCTATGATGATTTGGAAATGTGCTAATTAATTTTGCTCTGGCATCTAAACACCAGTATTGTGGAACTCTATGCAAATTTAACTAGATGACCATATGGAAGATATTAGCATTATCTCTACAATTATAAAATCATTTTTGAACAATAATGAGGTACTCCATTTCACTTTTTTATCTCAATTTTTATTTAGAAAGTTCAGTGAAACATGGTATCACAGTTTTGAATATCTTAATCTCACTATAATTTAACACTTTAAAAAATCTAGTAATTTTTGATTTTCAACAATAAAATTTATAAAAATAATTTTACATTTATAAAATGAATCATTATTTTACGATAAATTATTTCATCTTATTACATGAAAAAGTATTGTGCTATATAAAAGGAATAACTTTATCAATATTTTGAAAATATCAGTTCCTCTCATTCAGCACTGTTGGCAGTTAAATATACAAAATATATATTACAAAGTCCCTGACCATAGTTATTAAAACAAAATTGTTGGCAATAATTTGTAAAAAATAACTGCTTAGTAAATATAGGCAGATAAGTTATAGGATTTACTAATATGACTTTGTTTTATATTTTAAAGTTTATAATATCTTCTAAGAGAACAACACAAAAAAGCAGAAATCTACAAATAATAGCTGTATTTATAACAATCAAAAACATTCTTATTCATCACATGGAAATACCAAAGTAAATATTCAAAAAATATAAGTAAGACAACTTCCCTCTTCTCTCTCTCTCTCTCTCTTTCTCTCTCTCTCTCTGTCTCTGTCTCTGTCTCTCTGTCTCTCAAAGATTTCCCAGTGGCACGAATGTACCAGCTCTTGAAAAATTTATTGATTCTATTTAACCAAAGATAGCATCTAAGGAATCATTTTCTACTATTTTAAGAGTTCAATTTCACTTCAAGAGCCAATGGGTTAGTTAACATTTACTGAACCTTTTTATTTGTAGGGTAACTGGGGGTTACATGATCATAATCTTAGAAACTTTAAAAAGTCCTGAAAATATCATTTAATCAGTCTCTTTCAGCTTGGCATACTTCTTTGTATCATCGATAATTATTCAAATATTTGTTGCCTGCTTCAGACAGAGAAAGGGGGCTGGGGAGGGAGAGAGAGGTCATGGGTTCACAGACAACCCATCTTTAATTGTTTTCTTAAGAAGCTCCACTTTAGATCGTATCAAATGGTTCAGTATCCAGTGAACTGTGCTCCTCAGTCCAGAGTTAGGCATTCAGTATGTCCCTGGGTTGCTGGATTGTTGCAAACCTGATAACTTCGTCATTTTGCTCTTATTTTTGTGATAACCTATCTGGTGTATCTTTTATTTTCTTTAACTTATTTAAAATATTATTTTAGGGGTAAGACTTTTATTAAAGTACAAAAAGTGGTTTCTTACCAAGCTGCCAAAATGTGGCACTCACAGCTGGCATGTAAACATGTGTGGTAGGTAACATGACTGATAGCATCCCATCAATAGTCAATGACATATATTTGAAAACCATAGCAAGAAGCTCACATTTTTCATCCCACACCGAAGATATATTTATTCTCATGAAAGTCAACCAGACCCTGGCTTAAATGAGGCTCTCCTCCTCTCCAGGTTTATGAATGCTGCTCACATTATTTGAACCCTAGGCCAAAGGTTTCTTTATAACTGAAAGATAACGAAACCTCTTTTACAGGGTTGCTGTGAGGATGGGCTGAGGCCACGCATGTGTGTGATATGTGGATGGTTAATTTGTCTCCCGGGATCAGAGTTGTAGTGTTGGTTGGTACAAGGCCTCCTTCCTCCTCTCCCAGTCTCCCTGGGAATTGGGTGTGGGCATGTGCCAAGTCCTAGTCTATGGATGACAACTTCCAGGTATTTTTTTAGGATGGAGAAATAAACGTCTCTCTCGGTGGAGCCACTGTTTTAGGGATTTCTGTTTTACAGTTTAACCTGTAACCTCTCTGCTCAAGCTAACACCTTTTATCTTACCATACGTCTTCAAATGCAGTCAGATCTGAAAAAATACACAGTCATCCTTGGAATGGCTATTTATATTTTTCTAAACTGAAAACAGGCATATTTAACTGTGGACCAAAGACACTTCTTACGCCACAGGATATCCATGAGAAATTGTTCTTCAAAGAACTTTGCCCTATTTTACAGTAACTGCTTTACTGTTCTCTAATTTGCAATTTTAAAATTTATTAAAAACTTGATTCATTGTATATTCATCTGGGATTTCTGATATAATAATATTCTCAGTCAAAAAAAAAAAAGAACACTTAGTTTTACATAACATCACCCTAAAGCAATTATTTACAGATTTAAATTAATATGAAGGCAACAAATAGAAGCGGTACATGAGATTCAAATGGCTTAAGGCCTGGAGCTAGGGGAGCTGGGAAAACCATAGGGTATAAATGTATGGAAACTCAGATATACAATGGTTGCAACTGAAGGTTTCAGACAATAGCAAAAACAAACAAAATGAGTATAAAAACAAGAGAATATGTTACCATCTTACAACAGCACCATGAAGAAGCCTTGGCTACGAGTTAGCCAAAAGCACTATCCTGAGATTTTCAAGACTGGTAATATTTCACATTGAAGCAGTGCTGTTCAGAAGTAAAGTCTCCTTACAATGGCTTTTGTTTGGAGAGAGGCTGGTGTGAAATGACTGAAGCTTGGTTTGCGGCTATTTTGTATTGTTCTTGTCCAGAGCCTTGTGGTGGGGAGGGGAGTGGGGTTTCAGGAGTTGCTAAAAAAAAAAAAGAATCAGAGAATTGTATGTGATGGCCACAGTCACCCTGACCCATCATCCCATTAAGTCCTGCATGACACCAATACACATAAAGACCACACATAAAGTAGTGGTTTATGTAACACTGCAGGCCTGATTCACGAAAATTGGTACAAGAGTAGGCCTTCCTTTCCCTGGCTGCCTGCACCGGCTTCCCTCAGGCACCCCAGACCTGGGCTGCCTTCCCTCTGGCCCCGGCTTTGTCAGGAAGGATGTCCGGAATGATGTCCAGTCTAATTAGCATATTACTCTTTTATTATGATAGATTATCAGCTCACTGACATACCACCGAAGGTGCTCCCTTACTCTACCTCACCAAATAGATTTATATTGGACCAAATCTTTCTTGAAAACCTTAAAGAGTCCTTTGAAGATGTGGCCTGCCTTTCTTAATAGCATTTGTGAGCATCTGATTCTCCTAAACACCAGCAGAAAAGTTAATGAAAAGAATTAATAGAGTGCTAGTGTTTGTTTGTTTGTTTTTCAAATCTTAGATCTCAAGTGTTATAATCCTATCTAATAAAGAGGGAATATGCAAATTGACCATCACTCTGCCACAAAGATGGAAGCACCCATAGCCACAAGATGGCGGCGCCCAGTTCTCTCAGCCCTGCCAGAGTCCCACAGTCCTGGAAGAGTAGCCACTGAGAGCAGGCAGCATGAGCGGCCCAGTAGAAGGTTGCTTTGTCACCGTGGTGATGAGGTAAGCATTCCACCCAGGCCATGGAGGACCTCTGGCCAGGGAAGGCAGTTGGGGGCTATTAGGCTTGCTGGGAAGGGCAGTTGGGGGCCATGAGGCCAACAGGGGAGGGCATTTGGGGGTGATCAGGCCAGCGGGGCCAGTTAGTTGGGGGCAAGCAGGCTGGCAGGGGGGCAGTTAGGGGCATGCAGGTTGGCAGACAGGGTGGTTAGGGGCAATTGGGCAAGCAGACAAGTGAGTGTTTAGGAGCCAGCAGTCCCAGATTGCAAGAGGGATGTCCGACTGCCAGTTTAGGCCTGATCCCACAGGGACGTACCCCTGGCAAATGGACATCCCACAAGGGGTCCCAAATTGGAGAGGGTGCAGGCCAGTCTGAGGGTCACCCTCCATGCATGAATTTCGTGCACCAGGCCACTAGTTTTATAATAAAAGTGCACATGAAATAAAATATGTTTGATTTGGCTTTCACTGACTCAACCTTCATAGATGACATTTTAAAATGAAGATATTTTTCAAGTGCTTTGAAATCTATGTTGTAGTTAAAGGTATCTGAAAAATACTGGCTTTGTCACATCAAAATTACTCTATTATAATTGCTCTTATTTGTCAATTCCCCTGTCAATGCAAAGAGCAAACCTAGCTATTTCACTGTTTAGAACAGTGTTTCCTCCCACTGTAAACTCTTTTCATATTATAAAATAATCTAGGAGCTAGTCTATAATTTTTAAAAAGTTAAAAGTATTTTAGTACTCAGACTTATTATTATTTCCTATATCCAATAGTGTAGAAAATATTTGATAATCAGACTGAAGCATTGCAAACTTTATAATTTTTTTTTTCTCCAAATCAGTTTCTTAAAATTTTGGGGGGAAAAAATTCTATACAAATATGAGGACAAACTCTTTTTCCTTTGTTTTCTTTACTATTATAACTTTGGTATTATTAACTATAGATTAGCAATTACTTAGGAACAACAGTTTGAAATAGTTTAATTGACAGAGGAATAAACCAATTGCTTTAAACATTTATTTCGGGATACTTAGGGTGTATCTGAAACTTCAGAGGCCTGCTCTAAAACACTGAGAAAATAGCACAATTTAACTTTTTTTCTGTGCTAACGTGTATGTTTTGGTTTGGATTAAAAGGAACTATTCTAAATGAGCATAAGAAGAGCAAAGCAAAGCTTTCCTTTAAACGAGTCTTATAAATATTATATTGAAAAAGGGGGGGAAATGAAAAATTGTGATGATGAGATTCTAAAAATATTAGAGGCAACAGCATGCTTTCCAACTATTAGAAACCTGGCTTTTAAAAAGTAAAGAATTCAACCGCCAGCACAATTGCTCAACCTTCTCGCCAGCTGATGCCTAGAATACTTAATGTGTTGTTAATGTTCTAAGTTTATGAATAACTGAGCTTAGAGACACAGCGCCGAGTATTTTGGTGTGACACTGAGCTTGCCTCTCTTGGCTCCTGACCACCTGTTACTTGAAAATGGTAACATCTGCTTTGCAAGGATATTCCCAAACAATGGCTTTCAAGTGCACTGGGACCCGCAGGTGAAATGTACCACACTATCTCCAAAAATTATATTTTTTTTTCTATCAATTTCATTTCGGCCTCTGACATAGACTCAAAGGACTCCTGCTTCAGACACAATTACTACCAATGCTTGTGTACTACACAGGAGATGTGAGAACACACATTTTTGTGGATTCTTCTTTCCTGGCCAGTAGGTAGCAGCCGGGTGGTTGCCACTGAATCGCTACATCCCCTTGAACACTGAGGTAAAAGAACATTATAATGAGATCATGAGTGGCCACTGTCGATTCAGCAGGTCGGTCATACATGTGTGCATGATCATGGCATCACGTAACTTAAGACAGCTCGGTGAGGCAGCTGGCTGAGTGTTCAGAGGCGATAGATCCCAGGTAAATCTGGGATAATTACTATCAATTCAGTGGTAATTCTTGATATTTGGTCAAATGGGGATTGTTTTCTCCAGGACAGCTTGTAGAAATAGAACTGTGTTAAATCTGCAATGATATCAGATTAACCGTCCCTAGTACTTATATAATTATTTTAGTTTCAAAGTGTTTGCCCAAGAAGCCCTCATTGTGTACATTTCTGATATGCATGGATCTCAGCAGCACAGCTCCTGGCACCAGTGCTGCAGAAAACATGGTCAAGAGTTGTTAGCATGGTGACTCCCAGTTAACTGTGAGTACCACATAACCAGGAACCTCGCTGCGAACGCATTCCAAAATCACCTACGCAACAGAGGTCTCATGATCAGCGACCTAAGGCACCACGTCTTTCCTCCTGTCCATATTTTATTCATATTGGCACCTAATGTATTCCAATCACACACTGACAACAGAGTGTGTACTTGAGTTCCCTCCGTGTCTCCCAGTGATAAATCCACGTGACGTTTTGCAAAAATATAGACATTTGAAAGAGAATTGGCTAAAAAACAAACAAACAAAAAAAACCCACACAACACTATTCAAGTGCAGCAAGGAAACAATAATTCTGGGATCACAATTCAAATGGCACATGGATGGAGTTAAGGAAGATAGCTGACCGTGGGAATGTGGGCAGGACTGCTGTTTGAGACGCTACATATGCTTCCAGGACCTTCGGGAAGGGTCCTCGTCAGCCGTCAGCGTGAGGTGACCGGCTGTGGTGGAAAGGACAACGACGCCCCAGAGGAAACAAAACTGGCAAAAACCTCACATTAAATGGATTCTCCTATATATTTTAGGACACGGAAATTGCAAAGACCAGCCCAGGAGATAAAGTGAGCAACATTGTAATAATTGTGTAGGTGCCAGGTGGTACTGAACATATCAGGGGGGACACTTTGCAAAGTATATGATTGTTCAGCCACTATGCTGCACACTTGGAACTAATGCAAAATAATATTAAATATAAACTGTAATTTTTTAAAAAAAACAATAAAAGGAGGGGAGAAAAAAACAAAATGCAAAGGGTAAAATGTTAGAAGCTGATCCAGACTTCAAAAGAGGAACATTCATGAAAGCACATAAAAATCCTCACTTGTGCTTAACAAGTTGCAAGAGGAGGAGGAAACAAAAATACTGTTTATAAACTATGCTTCTTAAAAAATTTTTACAAAGAATTAAAACTTTCATTTTCAGTGCTTCTGATGTTTTACATTATGGTGCACAAAATAATTATTAGGATTACTCTAATTTTCAATTTCCCTATATTTATTTTTCAAACTTCCCTATATACTTCTAATATATATTAATAGCTAAAAGGGTTCTAATGTTTGAAAAATATTTTTGTTCATTTGTATCTGAGGTATAACTGACATATAGCATGATATGACAGACATTTTAAAAGGTCACAAGTAACCGTAATTTTCCAGTGATAATTCGAATTTCTGTGCATAGTCATCATTTCTGTAAACCTGCAGACCAGCAGAGCTGGGATTGCCCATATATTATTTTCTGCTTCCAAAACCATGGAGTAGAAAGACTGAGCTACTATAGCTCCATCTTAGGGAGCAAACTCATGCCTGGAGAATATGTGACTTGCTGAATGTCACAGTCTCCCGCAGTTGACTAGAGAGGATAACATACTGTATTTTCCAGTATAAGACGACACTGTGTTCTAGTAAAAAGCCTGCTCAGATTGGCCAGAGTCAGAGAGGCGGTCTATTAAAAAAGGAACTGGTGTTGCCTCGGAAGTGGGGGGTAGTCTTATACAGTGAATATAGGCCTAAACCTATGTTTTAAATGTAAAATTAGGGGGTTGTCTTATACGCTGGAAAATATGGTACCCAAATCTTGCAGCTTCTGGGTACTCATAGATTCTTTCCCCCAATGTCTCTTTTCCTCAAGTCATTACATTTAGGACAATTTATGGTTGAGAAGTAACCCACATACTTACAGATCTGGTCTGTATGCACCAGTGTTGACATGGGGCCGAGCAGTATGGTTTGTCCAGTTAATGGATCCTGAGACAAATGTGGATGCACCGGATGATGGAGATGGCTGACGTCATTGGAAGCACCTACCGAAGATAAAAAGATGGTCGCGTGGGCGATGTTTAATCAGAAATGGCAAGTTTACCCTGGAACAAATGTTTTGATTGACAACTTGAATATTGCTATTTTTGCAAAGTGCTTTTTGGGAGTTCAAAAATAAATTAATAGAACAGCTGCTGTATTAAGGACAATGTCAGCTTTCACCGTACACTGGCTAGATGAATGCTGTATCATATTATGTTGTCTATTAATAATGGACCTTGTATGCTGCTTCCTGGAATCATTAGGGTGGCTGCCTGTTGTTAAGGCAGTTCCAAGAATCACTTACCTCAGGTTTATAGTATTTGGGGTCACCCTAATAGCATAAACAATTTTTATTTCAGGAAGACATCATTAGGGACACAGTAAGCACCAGAAAACTAAAAATAAAATAGAGCGATTTTATCAGGAAATTTAATCTAGATCAAAAGGCTTTCCTAACTTTCCTAACTATTCCTGGCATTTACTGCAGTAATGAAATCTCATTTTTCCCTACTCGTTGTCTTGTGTCAATTAATTATTTCAGAAGCTAAGTGTTCATTTTTATATATTATTTATAATATATACATATATGTGTGTACATATATGCATACATATTTTGGGTTAGTTTGCAATTATCTTTGAGTTTTTAAAGGAGTAAAGGCGTAGAAAAATACAATGATACTTCAAGGACTATTACAAATAGGAAAAACAGTTCTAGTCACCACATTTGAAGGACCTGAAATGTGAGGTTACTGGGACCATGTGAAGAGCTAGATGGTGGAGGCTAGCAAGAATGGGGATTTCCATGCATTCAAGAATTTTGTCCCCATCCAGTGAGGATTGCAGATTTTCTAAATGCAAATGAAACTGAATTCATTCTGCCACAGACAGAAAATGAAAGGGCCAAAGGTGCTCGGGAGCACAAGGTGGGATGCTAACAAGTCAGAGAGACTCACCGCCCAGCAGCATCTCCTGGAGCAGGTTGTCGATCTTCACCATCCCGAAGAGCTTCACGAACTGGATCTGCTCGATCATCTGCCAGGTGATGCTCTGCAGCGTGGGCAGCAGCAGGAGCAGCTCCCCGAAGCGCCCGCGGGAGTCGTACTGCCGGTCGTTGATATAGTCCTCCAGGCTCAGCTGCACCTGGAACCGCATGTTCTTGATCTTCATGGGGTCGCTGAGCCCTTTGGCATCTGGTGAAGGAACAGAGAGGGCAGCCGGAAGGTTGGATCTTAACAACGTGCGACGGCAAAATATGCCAATATTAAAAAGTAGTCTTATTTTTGCCGAAACCGGTTTGGCTCAATGGATAGAGCGTCGGCTTGGGGACTGAAAGGTCCCGGGTTCGATTCCGGTCAAGGGCATGTACCTTGGTTGCGGGCATATCCCCAATAGGGGGTGTGCAAGAGGCAGCTGATTGATGACTCTCTCATCGATGTTTCTACCTCTCTATCTCTCTCCCTTCCTCTCTGTACAAAATCAATAAAATATATATATATATTTTAAAAGTCTTATTTTCATTGGAATTATTTTTTTAATGGGTCTTTGGGAACAAACCTGGATCAAAAAACACAATGGCCTTCAGACAAGCGTACTCGTTGTCATCGATCTGGATTTCCTGAAACGGCCGGACCAGCTCATCCAGGACGCGGTTGGCCACACGGCTGATCTCGACCTCACAGCTGTTGCGCTGAATAATGTAGTTGTTTCCTGAGGGGGGAAAAGGAGGAGAAATAATAAAGTCATCCTGCCCCAAAATTGTCAGATACTGTTATACTGTTTAAATTTTTACAAACCAATGTTTGAAATGGCCTTCCCTTGCATTAATAATAATAGCACTTCATTTCTCAGCAGTGTTACGTTAGAAAATCTTAAGAACACTTAAAGGATCAATAACATTGATAATGTGATCACATGCATTTTAATAGCCTCAGTCACTGGTGATAACACTAAAGTACTGGCTAATAATCAAGCTAATAATTGACAAGAGAGAAGCAAAGTATAATGATTAGCTTTCCGCTATGTCAGTTTTCTACCAGTGTCTTACTCATTAATCAGCTTAATCCAAAGCCTACAGAATCTTTCTGGCTCAGAGTGGATTAAATACACCATCCTTTAGTAGGGTTGGTATATGTAGGTATGACGATGATTGAGACACTTTTTAACAAACCTAAGTGGATATATTTTATTCAGATTGATAATGTAGGGTCCTCTAAATGCAATAAAGCATGTAATAGAAATTGACGGCATGGTCTCTACAGCCACATGATGAGGCTTAGAATTCTGACTCTATCCCTCACTCACCTTGAAACCTCAGCTTAACTTTCTCCACCTGAAAAATCGGCTGAAAATAATAGTACCTATCCCCTAGGGTTATTGTGAGGATTAAATGAGATAGTGCTGATCTACATATCAAAAAGCACTTAGAGCAATGCATATGACATAATGAGTGCTTGATAAATATTAGATATTATTATATTACATTCAATTTATCCATGTTTAGGAACAAAATATCCATCACATAAATAGAATAAACAATTTAGTTATCATTTCATACAAGCCAGGAAAAGTTAAAGCTAATAAGCATGAGAGAGATCTTAACTCTTTCTATAAGAAATCTCATAAGTAAGTTAAGTAGGGTGAGAAATTGGAGATTTGATGAGTACAAAAGCTTTTTTTTTGTATCATATCTTCTCCACCCACCTTCCCTTCCACCTGCCTCCCTACTTCTGCTTCTTCTGGCACTATTATTGGATCATCAGAAATTTTCAGACACTGTCACCAAATTATTTTTAACTTGTGATTTTGCACATATCATGGGCAATGATATCATAGGAGATACATATGCTCATTAAAAATGTACCCAACAGCATATATTACAATTAGACATATTACAGTGACTAAGTAGACAATTACAGAGGAATGAGAAACACTGAGACTCACTACGGTGGTCACACAAGTCATTAATTCTTTGTCCTGATGATTTAAATAGATTCAAGAGTCTGTTCACTAAGCAACTTAATCTTTTTTTTTATTAAAATATATATTTTATTGATTTTGTACAGAGAGGAAGGGAGAGAGATAGAGAGTTAGAAACATCGATGAGAGAGAGTCATCGATCAGCTGCCTCTTGCACACCCTCCACTGGAGATATACCCGCAACCAAGGTACGTGCCTTTGACCGGAATCGAACCCGGGACCCTTCAGTCCCCAAGCCGATGCGGTTTCAGCAGCAACTTAATCTTAATAGACCCTGAATACACTCTGAACTTCCCTGCCATCAAAGCAAGGAAAAACAGGACCTGGGTGAGGGTCTGACCAATGAAACAGAGTCTGTGAAAGGAGAACACCATCTGTCAGTGTCTCAGAATGCTCAGGACACACAGAACAGATCCTGTGTAAGAAGGAAGCATGCAGAACTTTTTCTTAAATTAAAAAAAAAAAAAAAAACTTACCCAAAAGCAAAATATCTTTATATATCATGGACCTCTTTGTAGCTCCGAGCAGTAAATGCTCCCCAGCATGAGCTCTCAGCAGGGCCACCTTAATGAAAAATTCCAAATTGAACAATTAATGATAAAATATGATGATTAACAGATGGTATCAGATGAGTCTGGGACTAACTTCATGTTCTTTAAACCTGAGACTTTTATTTATTTATTTATTTAACAAACTATAATATTCATAGATAGTTGCCATAAGTAAGCCTTCTATTTTTCTATTTGAGAATATCATAGAGGTTAACTTTTCAAAATTTCTAAAACTAATGAGTCAATGTCAGCAAACACACAAACAAAAAAACTCAACAAAATAACTAAGTGTTCTGGAATGAAGTAAAATCAAACCAATTAGTGTTCGAATTTTGGCTCTGCCACTTACTACCTGTTCGATCTTGGGTAAACCAACCATTTATGTTTGGGACTCATTTGTTTTCGTCTACCCAGTAGAGATAGTGAATAAAATTTCAAATTCTAGGCATGAGGACTACATTGAAAAAAATACATGAAAAACACAGTCTTACACATAATAAACTGAATAGACAAGAGCGAAGTGAGGGCCTGTGACATGGTGCATCGAAATGCTAACCCACTCAAGAATGAACCCATAATTCCTTGCACTAAGTTCTCAACTGAGTTTCATGCATATCCTTCATTGCCTACTGAATATTATCATTAGAGATAACAGGAAGTGTTTCTCATTTAACACTGCAAAATAATGCTTCTCCAGCATCTTCATCCTTGTCCAACTTGCTTGTTCATGACAAAAACAGGACTTCAGTTTGATTCTTCTCTAATGGCCCAGCAATCCTACACCACCAGACCAAAGCCTTCGCCTTTCTTGCCCTGGCCTTCACAATACACTCCAAGAACCTAGCGGGCATTCCCTCTTCCTTCCTGGTTCCTCCATCCTAAGTTCCTCCTTCCTGGTTCTCCATCCTACGTCCTTCTTGACAGAGCTACCAAGATGAGATTTGTAAAATAATAATCACTTAATATCACTTCTCTGCTGAAAACTCCTCACCGGTTTCTTATTTTCCTTAGAATAACATCCAAACTGCTTGACCAAAGCCGCACAGGTTATAGCTCAATGCTTTGTCCCCCAAGCATCTTGCAACATCTCTGCTTGCCTCAGGGTCTTCAAACATACTCTTTCTGTACCCAGAATGCTATCTTTATCCTTGACCTTGGTATGACTGGCTTCTTGTCACCTGGGTTTCAGGAAAAATATTCTCTGATCCACAATTTAAAGTATCTGTTTTACCACTTGACCCCCAGTCATTATCCAAAAATTCACCTCATTTTATAGGATTTATCCCCACCTAAAATGAACTTACTCATAATCTATACATATTTTATTGTCTGTCTCTCCCAAATAGAAGGTAAACTTTATGAGAAAAAATGATGCAATCTGAATGCTCACAGTTCCTAAAAATGAACACTAGAACACTAATCCTAATACAAGTTTTTGGGTGAATTTACTGAGTGAACTGATGCAGAGTTCAGTTTTGAAAACTATTAAGTGGAAATTATAAAACTTAAGACACAGAGCTCCTGAGAGCATTTAGTAAAAGAATCTAATATATAATGCTACTGAAAGCTAATTCCCCAGTGTATAATCCACAACAGACATTGGCAAGCCATGGCTATTAATGCTATATTGTTAATATTAAGGTCTGAGCTCCTAAAGAAAAACTGTTTTTTGACAGGTTACTGGAATTCAATTCCCCAATTTTTAAATCACTATCTTCATATATAAGTCAGCAACTTTTAAAGAGGAGTGATAGTGAACATATAAAACTGATAAATAACATAACCTACTTATATGGCTTGGGGTTAGACAAGGAGGTTTTAGCAATTTAGCATTATTCACTGTGAAACCACCTTCCCAGCCAGGCTATCTTTATGATATGTCAATAACCATGACTCATAACAGGAAGGCAGGTACAGAACATTTTGAGAATGATTTCAGATTTTACAAGATTTTTTTTGTTGTTGTTCCCCAAGTGGAATGTTCTCCTAGAAATGTAATTAAACTTCCTATGATTACTTTTTTTTCTGGTTGTATAAATATTTTGTCCTTTGAATTTTAAACAATTGCACCTTTCCCTTTTATTGTTTTTGTTTTTGTGTGTCCATAATAAAGAACACTGGTCAGAGAATGTAAGACATACATGGGATAAACTACATATCCTGGTTAATTCAATGTGCAGGAATTGGAAGTTTTCAAATTATTTGCATCTACATATTATCTACTGCTTAGATGGAAGAGTTCAAAATGAATCTGATACTAATAATCTAATCTTCATAGATTAATTAATAAACTAAAACTTTTAGCTAATGATTAAAATACCTTAATGTACGTATGACAAAGCATGACAATATATGTATTAGGAAAAATAATTATATCTGAATTTTCTCAGTTTCTCTGTAGATTTCAGAACATGATTCTACAGATTTTTTTTGCTAGATGTATAATTTTTATACAGTAATGCTAAAATAAAATTGTCAATATACAAAGCAAAATTGTATATGTTAATTGTATAAGGTGCCCACAAAAACACCAATACACCTGTATGGTTTCCTCTAGGAGTGGCCTGGAATTTCTGAGAAATTTCACAGGTTCCTTCAGTAAGTACCCAGACACATTTATCTCCCAGGCAATTGCTCTGCAATCCTTTGTCTCACAGTGGCAGTTACTTGCTATCTGTATCAAGTTTTTTTTAAAAATATGTTAATAGATTTTTTAAATTTTTCTAGAGAGAGAAAAGGGAGAGATAGAAGTATAGACACATCAATTCAAGAGAAACATCCATTGGCTACTTCTTGCATGCCCTCTACTGGGGATCAAGTCAGCAATTTGGGCATACTGACCGGGAATCAAACCAGGGACCTCTTGGTTCTTGGTTTGACTTTCAACCACTGAGCCACACCAGCTGGGCTCACTTAAGTTCTTTACACTCCAAGAAGGGATAACTGTCTTTCTCAACTTTATCAAATCAATAAATATGTAAGCTCTAAAATAGGAGTTAAACAGCTGAGCCTCTGACAGAACAAGGAGGTGAATGGATAAGAAAACCAATCTTTTTCTGAGGAGATAATTTCACCTTTGTTATATATGGTAAATCTATTATAAACATAATTAAAAGAACATAAAAAAACTGGGCAAAGTTCAAAAAACAGTTGTGGATTTTTGTTTTTGTTTTTTTAAGCATTCAGAATTTCTTTAACTTCTACCTGATCATCCAGCGGTAACTCGCAAAAGGCAGGGATGTATTTTGCCCATTCAACCAAGACCAAGAGCTGCTGCTTCATAGACTCACAGACATCACCAATGTTTGCAATTTTCTTCACGTTTATGTCTGTGCTCACACCAGGGCTTGAGGCTGACATCTAGCATGAACAAAGACATTATGTGAACTTCTCATTTAAAACAAGACATAATCAATGATTCCAGTAAGTGAAAGCCATTGAAGTGGCACCATCATTGTCACAGTATCTTGAAAGATGCTAAATTTTTAAACTGAGAACTGAAATACCTTTCAGTACAAGTTTAATTGAAAACATTCCCTGCATAGCATATACTGTGGGAGCACTATCTGATTTTAAGGAACACACTTGTAGAAAAAGTTACCCAGCTTTTGGGGAGTGCCATAATCTAAAATGATTGCACAAAGAAATAACAGAGTCTTTACATGAAATATGCTCTGTGGTTTCCTTTTTCATTAAAAAGTGATATTCCCATTAAGAAAAATCCATCCTTAATTTGTTGAAAATATTTACGGTGGATAAAGTTTAACAAGAAGATTTATGTTCTGCACTAAATAGAAACCCATAGAAATAAAATCAAGAAACTAACCTTTAACTTAGTAACATCAATAAGCTTAACCTAATGATCATTTTTACAACTATATATAATTTTGAACTCTATAAAAATATAAGTGGGTCAACATGCCCTTCTGCTGAAGAAATGACTTTCTGAAAGATCTTATGAACTTTTTTGCACTTTCTGAATGTGTGTGTGCGTGTCTTTCTGTAATGTGTGTCCTTCCTCACACCTCCCCCTAAGCCATTCTCTAAGGGCTTTATATGACCATCAGGTAATCTGAAGGCAATGATGATGATAACGGTGAGGTTAACCTCTTCATATTACCCTTGTGTTATCAAAAACGAAAGTAGTTACACTGACTCATTATGGAGCTGGATTAATAGTTAGCTATTTCATAATTTGCTTTATAATAGAAAAAAATATCACTAACGTTTCTAATAGGAGCAATGCTAAAATAAACTCACTGAAAGGGTTTGATTCTTTTTTAAATTGTGTTCTTTATTGATTAAGGTATTACATATGTGTCCTTATCGCCCCCGAGCCCCTCCTCTCATGTCCTCACCCCCCTATTTGATTCTTAAGCCACTGCTACTTATGTAGATAACAAATGTCCTATGTCAAACTTTAGAACTGATGTTCTCACACTAGAAACTTCACCTTTCCCCTGCACTTTTCAAAATCTGGCTCTTCCCTTAAACACTTTTTTCCAAAGCAGGTGCCAAGGTGAGTTCTTGAGTCTAGAAACTGTTGTAAGGAAGGAAGCTCTGATGATCTGTCCCAACGAAACTCCCCAAAAGCTGTGGTAACTGATTTTACACATTCAACCAACAAACCACGATACTCTCCCCAGAGCCCTGTGCCATACATTAAGTATTTCAAATGTACTTTGTAAACAAATGTGTTATTTTACAACCTTCCGCTGAAATACATTTCATCGTCCCATTCATAAATAGGAACTGGTCCAGAAAACATCACAGTGCAGTCAACAGCCTGACCAACATTTTCAAAGTAAAACTCTTGAATTTGCATGAATGCGATTTAGGTTAGTAATGAGCACATTTGAAAAAAGTGAGATTATTTCATCACTACACCTAAATGCTGGTGCATGTGATTCTGGAAGCGGGTGCGGTGCTGGTGCACGGTGGGTACCTGGCGAGACCGCATCTCCGCCTGGGCCAGCGTGTTAATGGAGGGGATGTTGGTGCCATCGAAAGTGCTTCTCCGGGTGCTGATTCGATCGCGTTCGTTCTGCACAGCTGGGGGAGAAAAACCACATTGTCTCTTTGTCTCTTCTGTTCACTATGCGTCACAAAATAAGGTACAGAAAGTGGGAAGGGATGCTTCTGAAAGACCCAGATGTAGAAAAGTGTGACTGAAGACACTTCTCACTCGGTGTCACTTTTAAAGACAGACAGAGCCAGGCTTGTGACTTGAGCTAAAAAAAAATATATATTGCCTGTTGGGATTGCATGATGGCATGCATGTCAGAAAGTGTGGGGTCAGCCAGTTCAAGCATGCTGTGTTGTAATAAGATGGTTTTTCAAACTGTTTGAATTAATAAAACCTGTGAGGTAACTGAAGGAATAGTATCGCCCATGAGTTTGACCAGGTCAAAGATAAGAGTGTATTCACTATCAAAGATATGAGCCAAGTTGAAACCTCCATTGTCTCATTCTTCTAAGCCATGAGCAAAATTGGAAAGAAATTTTAGTTTAGTTATGGTAATTGTAAGATTGCAATCTTGTGATCTCTTAGGAAACAATGTTCTTGGAAAAGTTTACAAACAGGAAATCAATCCAAAGGCACAGCAGGTAGGACACCTTTCCTGAGAAGGCTGAGGCTGGAAATGCAGCTTTGGATAAGGTGAAGAAATCCCCCTATGAGAGACAGACCTTTTTTCAGTGGAGGAAAAGAAAAATGTGTGTCCCCAAATTTCTTATTGAAAACTAAAATTCTTAATAAAATTTCCTCAAACCAATAAGGATGAATAAGAGGGGGGATGACTTGTGTATTTATCACATAAAGAATAACACAGGTCACATGTTAAAGTTGGATTTCAAAACTTAGGAGGTAAAATGATCTCTTTTAACCAAAAAGAATGGAAACAAGTCCTGTAGCCCCTAAATTGTTTAATGCTCTGGAAGGATAAAGCAGTGAACTATCATAGTTTTTAATGAAGTTATTTTTTATTTATTTAAAAAACTCACTAATTTCTGCCCAGCCAATGTGTCTCAGGGGTTGCGTGTCCACTGAAGACCCAAGAGGTCACCAGTTCAATTCGTGGTCTGGGCATTCCCGGGTTGAGGGCTCAATTCCCATGTTTCTCTCTCATTGATGTTTCTATCTCTTTATCTCTCTCCCTTCCTCTCTTTCTAAAATTATAATAAACAACTCTGTATTTTAAAAATTCATGAATTTCTATTACTATCTATCCAAAACATACCAGTAACTATTAACTCATTAATTTGTAAGAGAAAATACTGAATGTTTTGCCTTTAAGAGTGAGTAGATTTTAGCTGGGACCGGTTTGGCTTAATGGATAGAGTGTAGGCTTGGGGACTGAAGGGCCCCGGGTTCGATTCCAGTCAAGGGCATGTACCTTGGTTGCAGGCATATCCCCAGTAGGAGGTGTGCAAGAGGCAGCTGATCAATGACTCTCTCTCATTGATGTTTCTAACTCTCTATCTCTCTCCCTTCCTCTCTATACAAAAATCAACAAAATATATTTTAAAAAAAGAGTTAGTAGATTTTAAATTGGAATAAATCAATAATATTTTATTTTAAAATCTTATTTACTGGTAGCTTCTCCTCCCTTCCTTCCTTTTGCAGAAATTGTCATTGACTTTCAGCCTAAACTAATGAAATACATTTATGGAGATAAAAATAAAAATGTAAGTTATGCTTTATGAATTGAACTTTCATAATCAATCTTTAGAAAAATGCTAAAATATATCATGTACATTTCTGCCTTCCTACTGCTAAAGTTTTCAACAGAAAACCATGTTTATAGACATTTCCACCTTAAACTGGATATCATGCTATCATTGTAAATAAGGGACCATGCTAAAATCCAAAAGTTACTTCTAATCTATTTAGAAAATACTATGTTATTCTGTGACTAGATGATACAATTTCACTATTTTTGAAAATAATTCATGTAAAAAAAAAGAGTAAAACTCTTAAAGGAAATAAAGGATGATGATCTGCAAGTGGAGATGGATGAAAATGATGGGCAAAGTATAGAATCAACCCATAAACTATTTGATATGCCACTAGATATAAACTGTTTTTAAAAATAGCTTATTGATTTTTAGAGAGGAGGAAAAAGAGAAGAGAGAAACATAGAAGTGGATTGATGTGTCCTACACACCCCCTACCAGGGACCGAGCCTGCAATCTGGGCATGTGCCTTACCTGGAATAGAACCAATAACCTGTTGGTGCAGAGGACGACGCCCAACCAACTTAGCCACATGGGCCAGGGCAGGCGTAAGACATTTTTAAATAGGAAAGTGCCTCTCCTTTAACTCTGGGGGCTTGCATTTGCCTTCTTGTTTGATACTAGCAACGTGAACAAAGCTATTGGAACTTTGGTCTCTTTAAAATATTGAGTGTCAAAAGAAAAAAACTAGCTATGTTCAAGATAGGTTTGATACATGTGACAGTTCTAAAGAATAGTGATTTGATTCCATTAATTTCTTAATAGCTTGTGAAATAGTTCTGAAAACTATCTCTGTGTATATGACTGACACAGGAGTGTGGAAAAAATTGATGTGCATAAATCTTATAGTGACTGTTCTCTGCCAAACATTTAAATGTATCCAGCACCTTTCTAAATTAGTCTTAGTTAGGATGTAGGATGATAAAACCAGATTATTTAATATGTTCAAAACAGAATTGTTCACACTAAAATAGAGTATCCATTCTATGTCTCTATTCCTCAATAGATGATAAGCTCCATGAGGGGGAGAAATATTCTATTGTATTAACTACTGAGACCTGGGCACCCGGGGAAAGGAACAGAGCTCAATAAACATTTGTTTTATAAATACATGAATGCATGCACAGTCCTTGTTCAGTTCATGTTTATGAAATAAAGGTATTCAATCTTATTGACAGTAAAAGTGTGCTTAACAATACAGTTATAATTTCAATTGATTAATAGATATTGGCCATCTATTTTTTAACAGGATTTTGGAATGTTATTTAGACAACAGTTTTGTTGACAGGTGTAACACAGCAGTGAGAAAATGACATCTGGATTCAGTCATCAGATAGAGACTGGGTGTCAGTGTCCTTGGGTAAATCCTTAAACTCAAGGAACCACAGACTCTTCATTAAGAAAAATCAGAACTCATATGAAAATGTTATTATGATGAATTGAGAATGTGTATATAAGACTCTTATTCAATAATACTAAATATCATTAGTATGTTATATATTACCTTCTTTTTTCATTCCTGCTCTAAAACACTTTCTTAACCGACAATATCTGCATTGATTTCTTTTGTCCTTGTCAACAACACATTGCCGACTGAACCTATAATATTAAAAAAAAGATGTATTAATTTTTCAGATAATTTTTTACAAAGAAACAGACAAATAGACTTTAAATAAGTATGCCCAAATTTGGCCCAATAGAAAGAATGTCTAAGAGCAATTAACTGAACGCTCATACATGATTTAAAAAAACACAACAATAAATTGACTTTTCCAGATTGTGAACATTTGTAGCTTTCCTCCTGCTATCATTTCTAACATAAAACCATGATCAGCACATACATGGGAATGTGAGCCTCACCTCCCATGTAGGCTTTAGAATAAAATAAAACTCAATGACAGTGCGCATGGTCATTTCTATCATGAGTCATGAAAGCCAAACCTAGTTTAAACAACTTTGACATATAAATCTCAATTGCCTGTTGCTTAGGGTTTTCGGTGTGATGGGGACTTTATCAGAACTCCATTCCTCTGCACGTTCATGCTTTTCTCACTGTAAATATTCTTCAACTCATTTTAAATGTGTTTCACATCCAATTAAAGTTTACTCTAAGTAGATGACCAATTACATATTAAGAACAGCATTGAGTAGTCTCTGCACAATTAGATGTCACCTCACATCCACAAAAATGGCTCTAATCGGGGGGAAAAATACAACAGACAATACCAGTATTGATGAGGAGGCATAAAAATAGGAACTTTCCCACATCACTGATCATAATATAAAATGCTGCAGCTGCTAAGGAAGAAAGTTTGGCAGTTTTATAAAATGTTAAACTTAGAGCTGTCATATGATCCAGCAATTCCACTCCTAGGCATCAATCCAAAAGAAAGAAGCCATATGTTCACACACAAACTTGTACACAAGTGTCCATAGCAGCATTATCCTAATAGCTAACAGGTGGGGACAACCCTAATGCTCATCAGTTGAGTAGATACCTAAAATGTGGTTCCCCACACAATGGATATTATAGATAACAATGAACAGGAATGGAGTTCCAATACATGGTAGGACTTGGCTGACCCTCGAAAACACTATTTTAAGTCAAAGAAGTCAGACACAAAAGGCCACATAGTATATCATTTCACTTACATCAAATGTCCAGAAGAGGCAAATGTGTAGACACAGAAAGTAGACTAGTGTGTGCCTCTAGTTGGTGGGAGGAAGTTGGTGGGAAAGAGTAGTGACTGCTAAAGGGTAAGAGGTTTCCTTATAGGATAGTGAAAATGTTATAACTCAATTGTAGTGATGGCTGCAACTCTGTGGACTGAATTGTACACTTAAAAAAAAAAAAAGGGAGTACCATTTCTGGAATTAGAAGCTTGATTCCCATGTCCACCATTCTTGATAGGATTTGCCAATGTAATTGCATATTCCCCCTCCAAGTTAATTTACAATTGTAAGATAGTAAAGGCTTGCTGTAAAAGGTTGTTATGTGAATGTACTTTAGAGACTTTGGGACAAATATTAAACATATAGTAAGCAATAACATTTCTTTAAAATTCTGGCTTCATAGTATTCATACGTATATCCCTGATTACTTGTGGTTGATTGGTAATGAGAATAAAATAACATATTTTGTGATATATATAAAATATTTCTTATAAAAATATGCATGGCTACTAAATATGAACTTAGTAGGAAGCCTACTATAGATGACCTGAGCTGGAAGAGAGACAAACTTTCTGGATGAGGAAAAAAATCATTGTTCATTTGAGAATACATGGCTAAGGAGACTCAGAAGAGAGGGCCAGAATACCACAGTGGGAGAACACATTCAATTAACATTAAACTAATGCAAAATGGAATACATATGCATTAAGCACCTATTGTGTATAAGATCCTGGTGTAGGGATTAAACAGAGAAATATTATCTATCTCTCCCATCAAGGAAACTATGATCTAGTAGGGTACACATACAAGTTTACAGACAACCATAGTAAAGAACCTAATGGGAGAAGTCCTGAGACAGTAATTTAAAGTGCTTGAAAGGGCAAGTCCAACTTCAGTGTGATGGAAGAGTTAGAGTGGAAATGAAATCAGTAAATCTAAGAGAATGGATAAATTTAAACCAGCAAAATGTGTTTTTAAAAAAACCTTTATGATCCTAAACTTGCATCAACATAATAATTTTCCAAAGGAGAATTGTAGCATTTGCCTAAGAGCAAAATATGTAAAGAAGGCCAAGGTGGTAGCAATACTCATGATGGGAAGGAGTGAGCCAACTCTACATGTTGATGGAATCTTTTCTGAATTTCCAAAAGTTGCTACGGTAACACTCCTTTCCTACTTTTCTCAGAAGAAGCATGAAAATCTTGAAAGCCCTTTAATATTCTGATAGACTCTGATTCTTAAAAGTTTTTGATGGATTTTATTTGGATTGTTATTTTTCATGTCTATTAATTTCACCTTTAACAGAACACATGACTCAAAAAAGTACTGTTTGCCTGTTATGTTGTATTTATTTTTGTTGATGATTTTGGAAATCTACTTGGTTTACCTTTTATCTTTGGAGTTTTGCTGTTTATAAAAGTAAGATCTATCTACATATTATCTTTTTTTGTTTACCAAAAAGTTGTTAAAGTGAATGATTTACTTTTTTTTTTTTTACTAAGGTTTCCTGTAAAAATTACTAGAAAATACTAGTTAAATATTTGGAGAGTTTTATATTAACTTTTCTACAACTTCAGAAATCAAATGGCATAATGCTGGAAAAGAATTAACTTCTTCCCAGGCACAATCTTCACTCAAGAACTGTCATTCTGAACACTCATTGTGACATAGCTAACCCTCAATTGTGCTAGGACATAGACTTGATATTAAAACAGAAAAGCCAGCCTATTGGAAATGTGGGACACATACAATATAGTTTTATATAAAATGTTAAATTCAACGGCAAAACTGTGGCATGAGAAGTAAATTTAAAATTTTAGAACTGAAAATACAAATTCATCCATTAACTTTAAAAAGCTTTTTTAAAAAGCTACCAAAATCATCTGTGTTTTTATAATTTGGTTTGAAAAGACTCAAGATATAATGATGGAGAAAAGAATACCAGTACTTCAAAAAGGATGTACATTGTGAAACCACTGAAATGCAGGTTTAAATATGCCCATTGGTGTATGAACGTGCGGTAAAAGGATAAAGAAATGCCAGGAAAAGAGAAACTTCCGACAACAGTCCTCTCTGGGAGAGAGGGGAGGAAGAGAAAGCCTTCGGGGAGGTGTCCACTGGACTCCAACCATATTGGTCTACATTGAGTGCTAAGTATGTGGCATTTTTTAAATTATTTTGTATAACTGGATGGTTTATAAAAGAGAACCACTGGCGAATATGCATCCTGCTTACACACCCAAACATCTTCATTCTTAAAGCAGCTTACAGAGTGTGCTCTCAGGGTTACAGAAATGGAAAAGCTCTGAATTGTGTCCTTTTCTCGCATGCCTTTTGAAACACCTCTACAGATGCCTCTCCCGAAAGGCGCGCTTCCGGTACCTGCACGAATACACGTGGCTCTTGCGAATGCTGCGTCTGAAGAAGCCCTTGCACCCGTCACAGCTGGACGCTCCGTAGTGCTTCCCGGTGGCCCTGTCCCCGCAGATGGCACACAGACAGCTGACCCCGTTGTCTGCGGTATTCATACTTGTCGTCTCTGGGGCAGAACTCTCTGTTCAGAAAAAGGGGGTGGGGTAGGGTTTGAGTCAGTACTGAGTCTTTCTAGTGACATCACCCAACTCAACATTCAGAGGCTTGAAACAGTCCACGCCTTGGCCTTGGTTTCTTGGAGGCCCCACGTACTGCTTCCTCTGAACCACTGGCTGCTTCTGCCAGTCTTCATCCATTCTCCTCTCTGATTATTAAACGCTGGGACACTACAGGGCTCAGTCCCCCAACCACACTCCTTCTCAAGGGAAGCTTATCTAGTTCCACAGTTTTACATAGTATCTGTCTGATTGACAGCCCCAAATTTTATCTCCAACCCCTATGTCTCCCACAGGCATCGATCTGAAATGCCCAAATAACTATTTAACAACGCCACTTTGCAATTTAAGAGGAATTATAAATTAATGTATAAAGACAGAACCCCTCGATTTTCCTTCTAGAACATGTTCTTCCTTCAGTCTTCCAGATAAGTCTATAGTACCATCCAGAACCCAAGGCCAATAACCTACTAGTCTTCAATAAATTCTCTCCTTATCACTCATACCCAATCCAAAAGTAAAGTCCGTTTTTAAAATAGATAGAGAACCCATAGCTTTTCTCCTTTTTACAACAGCAACCCTTATCCAATTCACCATATCCCTCTCCCTCCTCCCTTCCCCCCCCACCCCACCCCCGCCGCCAGGTCATTGCAATAGCCTCCTGTCCAAGTTCTCTCCTTTCATCCTTGCTCCCACAGTGCTCCTGGTATAAGAAAGCCACATCCTACCAGCCTCCTGCATCTAACCCTTAGCTACAGGTAAGTAACTATGTGGCTTCTGAAGCTCCATGGATAGAGTCCCTTCCCACTTCTCCCATGCCAACCCCTAGTACTATTTTTTACCCTGTTCACCATCCACCAGCAAGGTGGCCTTTTTTTCTCCTTATAGTCTTTTTATATCTCAGAGTGTTTGCATTTGCTCTTCATTCTGCCTGGAAGGAAAGTTCTTCATAAAACATATCTTTCAGCTGGTTTTCCAGTTTCTGTTCTACTCTCTCATTTTCTATGAAATACTCTCTGAACCTCCCAGAGTCACTTCCCATCTTCCCTTCAAGTAGAACCTAGAATTCTGATTATTTAAAAAAATAATAATAATAACGTATTTGTTGTCTTATATTATATTCTGTAATGGCTTGCCCATTTACTATCCATCTCTGTCTATAGAATACAAACTCTGTGATGGCAGAGCATTAATCTGTCTCATCTGCCTTTGCTATCTTCCAGCTCTAAGAACTGTGCTTGGCATAAAGTGGGATCTACTATATAGTTATGAAGAAATAGGCTTTAAAAATCCACAGATAATTTTACTTAAGTATTTCAATGAGTTAATGTTGCTGACTACACCTTTAAAAATCTGTATGGATTCGCCCTGGTCTGTGTGGCTCAGTTAGTTGGGCATTGTCCCAGGGCAGGACACACGCATGGGTCGTGGGCTCAATCTTAAAAGCCTGAGACCAATAAAACAACCAGAACAACCAGCCGTTATGATGCCCACTGACCACCAGAAGGCAGATGCTCAATGCAGGAGCTACCCCCAGCCTGCAGGCCCCAGTTGCCAATAGGGCCTGCTTGCCAACCTCCTAATCCCTCTCCCTGGTTGGGCCCCCTGGCTGGGGCGAGGAGCTGGAGGTGAGTGAGGGCAGACATGGGTGACAAAGGGAGTGGGGAGGTGGAGAGGTGGGGATGCAGGGAATCTGATTGATCCTGATCACCAGCCAGGCCTAGGGACCCTACCCATGCACAATTTCATGCACCTGGCCTCTAGTCATGTATAGTTTCATCAAGTGAAAAAAAAAATAAGAAGAATATGCTTAAGGTTAACCATGTGACTTATAGTACTCAATAGGAATTTTTCTTTTGGTAACATAAATATAATATATACTAGTAAAAGGCAGCTAGAAGTATTTTAGAATTGACATTATCCTATGATTATATGAAAATATGAAAAAAATTCAACTGCTTTAAGTTTAATGTTTTACTCATATGCTATTAACCATATTATTAGAAGAAATTAGGACTAAAAACATTTTGAAAAATCAATTATTTTAGTAAATACTTATGGTATGCCTATCCCTACTATTAGCAATCTATAGTCTTTTTTAAAAATCATGATTCTACTGAAATAAATAATACTCTGTTCAACATTTCTCAAATCTAAACATAGGAACCAAAACAGTGACTTTCTAAGATTTGCACTATCGGTTCATTTTAACTCTCTTTATGCTAAAATTTCAGAATTCATCTTCTAACAATTTGTAATACTTGTTCCACCAATAATACAACATACAAGAAAATTAAGATGATTTGAGTATGTTAAATTCTCAATTCTGAACTAAAAACACACACTCACACATATACACATTTTTCAAACTACACATAATTACTAGATTTTAGGAGTTCTATTGATTATAACTGATCTTAGACAATATTTTTACTTAAAAAATAAATTTAAAGTCAATGGTGAACTATTTTATAAAAAGATCTGAACCCTAAACCACTCATGTCTTATTTAAAGTTAAAATGTTACAGTAGATACACACCAAGATCTTTTGAGGCTAACCATTAGCTTGTTAAGTGGGGTTATAATATAAACCTTTATTTCCCTTCATATTTGTCTGCATTGCAAAATCTTGGTAGTAGTTTTCAATGCAGTTTCCCCTGGCAGCAATGGGGACTGGAATAATGAAGTAGGGGACAACCAGAAAACTGCCCAGTGCTCTATGGAAACTCTGTCCCACTTGTCATTAAATGTTGCCTAGAAAATATACTTTACAGCCAATCTGTCACTTATTACTGTGATTTACAATAAACAAAATAAACCCTTTTTGCCTAACTGGGCCATGACAGAATTTTGAGGTTACTTTATTAAGCATAACTAAGCTTTTTTTCTATCTCAAACATAAAACGGGCAGAGCATTATTAATTTAAAATTTGTAATGAAGGCCAGAAGCTCAGATGTGTGGCTTTAACATGAGAGTCCCAAAGGATCCTGCAGGAAAGCCTGGGACTGCAACCCTGGGAAGCTCACTCTGACTTCTCCCACTAGACTTACTTTAAAAATATGGATTTATAAGCAGACGAGAACTCACCATTTGAATTATACAGAATCTGCATGGTTTCAAACTCCAAGGTTGTATACGTTGGGTCCAAAACTTCACTGTAATTTGCCATATCCATGTCCAGGATCGGTTCCGATACCCTCATCATTGACTTAGAGACACACATCCGAGGCCTTCACAAGCCCGGGCTGTGTGAGGGCTGCCAAGCTTTGAAACTGCGAGTGATAACCCCGAGTTAACTGTAACTGAGTGACTCAGGAGAGGCCGTGGGTGGGGCCATAGAGCTGTAAGCTCCTTCGGCAAGCCAGCTCGGCTCCTGGCTTTTCTGCTTTATGGCATATGAAAGCAATTTCCTGTGATAATCTTGGAATGCTGCATGAAATCACCTTACCTGAAGTGCTTAGTGGACTAACTTGATTTCCTAAATTGATTTCCAGTAGATAATAAACGATGCCATTAAGAGGATTCAACATAGAAAAGAGAATCGAGTGTCAGGTTTTAGATTGTAATTGAACCAAGACTTATCCCATGGAAGGGGCTGAAATCACATACTACATGTTCCCAAATATGGGACTTTACCACTGTAAATGTGATACGTCACAATGCTCAGTTAACACTTAACATAAGCTCTTAACAACTTCAAGTGTTCTTACCCATACAGGAAAGCTAACTTTGTTTATGTTGTAATAAAACAAGCTTGTAATGTGAAATGACAGGGATTTATTATATATTTCAGTAGAAGCCTGGGCATAACCTTAATAAGGCCTTTCACATATTCTCTCTATCAATGTATGAGTCTGTGTCTCTTGCAGGTTTGCAAACCTCCCAAGGGCAGAAGCATTGAATAAATAATTGTGACATGAATAAGGTTCCACTTCTTTAGACTTCTGATGGCTATTATATTCTAGGTATTCACCGGAAATAAAGCCTTCCCTCATCAATGTGGATCTATACAATCCCCTCATCAGCCCTCTGTATCTAACTTCCGTGTAGCACCTGATATCTTTCTTGGGTACATGTGACAAAGAGCATTTAGAAGATAGCAGTCAATGATTATATTTTACTTCTGAGAATACATTTATTAATTTTTTCTTCTAAGAAAGAGTTCCACCTACGGTTACACTATGAAGGCAGAATTTTGTTTCTACGTTTGTTAAAGATTACTACAAGGTACTATTTATTAAAACCATAAATTTTCAATTTTTTAAAACCATAAAACTTGTAAATAAATTAGTAAAGAAATTACTGTATTTTTCACCTGGGCATGCTGGGCTGGCCTCTTAAACTGAAAACCACATGAAGAATTGTGAAGACAACGGCAGAGCCACCTTAGCCGCAAGTCACTGAATCCAACAGTGTCCCCGGAATAGCTCTCTTGCCTTCAGATTCTGTAGTCTCTTAATTGTGAGAACAATATTTGTGGGATATATTTTATGGGTTGGTTTTCTTCAGTGAAGGCTAACTGTAATTATCAGTTTTTGGAGAAGCAGAGAGCAAGCAAATCCTGTGACTTTCATGTGCATGAAGTGGTTCTCATTCGTGGTAACTTACACAAATGTGTCTCCTGTGTGAGCCAAAGGACTGAATTGTGCGCACTCTTTCTCATCCTGGTGGTGACTCACTAGAGCTGAGAGATGTCACCAATGGGGGTGTCCCAACAGAGGGAAAAGAAGAAAAATGTAAGGCAGAGAGACCACCAATGTGTCTGGGGGGTTGAGCATTGACCTATGAACTGGGAGATGAGTGGCCAATCAGTCTTAGCAAGGTTTCTAGCTTGATCCCTGGTGGGGAGGGGCATGTGGGAAACAGTGATCAATGATTCTCTCTCATTATTGATGTTTATATCTCTCCCTCTGCCTTCATCTCTAAAATTAATAAAATATAATAAAAATATATATAAGGCAGAGAACCATTCGTTTTTTTTCCTTTTTATTGAATTTATTGGGATTGACACCAGTTAACAAAATTATATGGGTTTCAGGTGCACAATTCTACATCACCTGTACACTGTATTGTGTGTTCACCACCCCATCAAGTTTCCTTTGAGAACCATCTATAATCTATATATATAAAAGGCTAATATACAAAGTGTCTCTTAATGTGTTCGACCAGGAGATCAGGAGTTCAATTGCTTGCTATGATGTGTGTTGACCACCAGGGGGTGGCATGAAACATGGAGGGCAATCAGTGGAGTGCTGAGGGAATGAGGGAAGAAGACAGAGAGTGGGGAGGCAGGGGAACCTCGTGGTGGCAGCAAGGGTGTTGCAGGAAGGAAGAAGTGGGGAAGCGGGGAACTGTGCAGTGGCTGCATGCATGTCACGAGGGAAGGAGGAGGCAGGGAGGCAGGGAACCTGATAGGCCCTGATCACTGGTAAGGCCTAGAGACCATATCCATGCACAAATTTCATGCACCAGGCTTCTAGTTTATTTATAAGATTGTAAAACACTAAGAAAATGTGGACGCTAATCCCTCCTTATATGTGGGGCATATGTTCTATGACACCCCCCCACACACACACACAGTGGATGATAAAACTGTTGATAGTGTTGAACTCTATATAATGCTATGTTCTTTCCTATACATATATACCTACGATCAAGTTTAACTTACAAATTGGGCCCAGTCAGAGATTAACAACAATAACGAATAATAAAATAGAACAATTATAACAATATACTAAAGTAATGTGAATGGCAATGGGTCCATCATCAAATAAAATGAGGGTTACTTAAAAGACAAGCAATCTGATAGCAGGGCAGTCACACTGATCACCAGCACAGTTACTACAGGACTAATGAGATGTTGGGCAAAGGGACAGAGCAGGAAGGCAGGATTACAAAGAGCATGATTTAAAACATTTTTTTTTTTAACTTCTTAAATTTTCCTTTTTATATTTTCAGACCGAGAGTAACTAAAACCATGAAAAGCAAAACCATGGATAAGGGGGATGGGGAAATGTAAAGCTCAGGAGAACAATACTGGCACAATGTTGTTGTTCTACCTCATCTCATGCCGATAGGCAGTATCCTATGGGGCCATGGAATTCCACTCATGGTTCATTTTGGCACCATGGCCAAATGTAGCCCCTGGCAATTAATCAGAGCTGCCTTTTAAGGTGAAACCTGCTTGTCATTCATGTTGTTATTATTTCCTTCATTTTAAAGAGTAAGAACTGGAGAATTTCCAGGAAACACTGAAGATCCAAATAGCAGGCATATCTCCTCAAGTGGGCAGTTTGTCTTTTTAATGATATTGGGATCTGGATACACACACACACAGAATCCAGTCAGCTTCAATCTAGTAAAGGAAAGATTATCTTTGCCCCCATCCCCATCAAATAAATTAATTCTAGGATTTGTCATTTTACTTAACTGGTTAAGCAAATAATATAATTAAAACAGAGAATCACAAAAATACACTTCTTAGTATATTTGACTTAAATATATATAACTAGAGGCCCAGTGCATGAAATCCATTCATGGGTGACTCCCTCAGCCCAGCCTGCACCCTCTCCAATCCGGGATTGCTGGCTCCTAACCACTCAACTGCCTGCCTGTCTGCATAACCACCTCTGCCTGCCTGCCTGGTCACCCCTAACTGCTCCCCTGCTGGCTGATCTGATTGCCCTTAACCGCTTCTGCCTCGCCCCACACCAAGGACCCAGGATTCCCTCCTCTGGCCAGTCACAGGCGCCTGGGACCCAGGCTTCCCTCCGTCTGGCTGTTCGCAAGCACCCAGGACCCAGGCCAGCTCTACCTGGGCTGCAGCTGCAGGCAGTGGCACCTGGAATTGCTGGACCAGTGGCTTGTCCCTCTCCCAGACTGCAGGTGCAGGCATAGCATTGGCACCCAGGACTGCAGGGCAGGCAGCTTGTCCCTCTCCCAGACCACAGGTGCAGCCGCTGGTGCCTGGGACCTTGGGGACCATGGGGCGTGAAGATTCTCTCTCTCCCAGGTCATAGGCACAGGCGCAGCTGCTGGCGCCCAGGACCCAGGGTGGGTGGCTTGTCCCTCTCCCAGGCCACAACCTGGCTGGTCGCCATTCCTCTCTCCTCAGAGTTGAATGTCTGAGCTGTTACAGTGTGATGGTGTGATGACCATTTGCATATTAGCTCTTTATAATATAGGATTTCTTCCTTTTGTTTGAATAAGAATCCATTATTTGGGATTCTTTATTAATTTTTTAATAAATCCCATATGCTCCCTTGATAGTCTGTTTTCTTTAGTGGATAATAAAGTAAAAGCTATCTATAAAGCAATCTGAATGTTGAAACCTTCTAGAATTTTATGCTTTTTTTCAAAATATTTTATGTATTCTAATCAACTTGTTTTCATATACTTCCAAAGTATTTCTCATGGTTTTCATAGAAGAAAAATACCTTTTTTTTCACACTCATATTTCATTGGATTATGCAATATTTAATTAAATTACAAAATAAGAGGAACAAATGCATTAACATGCTAGGTGACAAATACTAGTGACGCTTGATCACTATGCGAAGTTGCTGAGATGTCAGGGGACATTGCAGCCATATTCACAATAGCCAAGATGGAAACAGCATGGAGGTCCCTCAGTGGATAAATGGATAAGAAAAAAACAGGCTCTACAATGTAATATGTTCAGCCTTAACAAGGAGTGCACAACCATATTACCACAATATGAATGAATCCTGAAAACACGATGCTAAGTCAAATAGGCCAGTCACAGAAAGACCACAACTTCTCAAGTCCACTAATCTGAGAAATCTAAAATAGTCAAACTCATAGATTCAAAAAGAAGAACAGAAGTTGCTAGGAGCCTGAGAGAGGGAGAAATGGGGTGATACCCACTAAAAGGTAAAAAATTTCAGTTAAACAAGAAGAAACCAGATCTGCCATACAACATTGCAATAGTCAACAATAACGTGCTGTACACTTGAGAATGTGTTAGAAGAGCAGATCTCATGTTAAATGTTCTTACCCAAAGGAAATCAAATAAAAAGATTGATGGGGAAATAAACTACATCATGGGAAAGTGTTCAACCTTTTTAGTAATCAGAGAAATATAAAATAAAACAACTAATGCTCCTAAGAAAAGAAAAGGTGCCTGCTAGCTGAGGAGGTTAGCCTACCTTGGTGAGCTTCACAAAGGAAGTTGAGACACCC